ATTGTAGTGCCCGGCGATGAGTCATGTAGTTCCAGCCGGAAGCTACGAAGTGACAGTTGTTTTCACGTTTATCAGTGAATGCATTACATAATGTTGTTAAATGTTGAATGTATACATATTATTATTCTGTATTGTAATTATTACTGCTACTTATACATTCATTTGTGTTTCACACATACTGTGAGTAAATACAATAGTGGAATGACGTAATTCATTTTTAAGAAAACAATTTCATGTAGAATTTGGGGTTTTAACGGCGGTGAGTCTGAAGATGACTGTCTTCTGGGTTGTTGCGCCATGTAGTCTGGTTGGAGTTTTAGAGATCCTTGCTGTCTCCATCATCAGGACGATGAATCATCGCAGGGACCTCCGAAACGTCGGTAAACTTCTACCACACTACACGGCGCAGCAACCCAGAAGACATCCATCTTCAAAACAATTTCAAACATCATATTTTTAATTTTAATTTATATATCTCACAGATACTTTTGTCAGCTTATAATGAACAATATGTACGGAGCAGAATCCTTTCTGAGAATTTCATAGTCACTGAGTTGCTGATGTATTATAGACAAAAATCTGTTGTTACCACAGCTAGAGAATGGTAAAATGGCGTTGTATATAATCATAGCCTCCTTTATACCGTTAATTAATAACAAAATCATATAACGTTTCGAACAGAAGTTGCAAATCTTAATATTGCCTATAAACAGAAAACAGAGAGTGTCATAAAGGAGGAATAATCTGTGCTAATTGATGTAACTGAAAATTCCATGTTTAACACTCTGTGGGTTAAGAGGGTCTTGGCTTGAATCCTACCTTATTTGTAAGCTGTGATGATATTAAAATTATTAAGTGCTAGTAATGTGTAGTTGCGGCATGATGTCACACTCCTGAATGGTACGTTGTGTTGTGGAAAACAAATTTACAAAAAAAAAATGTAAGCTGGAACTGTAGGAAATAACTCACCTTAAACACTAAAATGTACGTCACCGAATCATGCTTCTAATGTTTTAAAAAGTCTGCTACATCTTGAGCCATTTTGAATCGTATTGTGGAAAGATCGCAGAAAAATGGGCCCAATCAAGTGGTTTGTCTAACCCCTTAGTGATGTTGGTGAGACCACGCGCTCAACAGAGGAGTCGGAGAAGTTGCCGCATAAGTAAGGCGTTTTGAATTCTTTGTTTTCCGCCCGACGACTACTACTAAATCCATGACTAGAACAGTCGGTATGTATTAAACTCCCACATCCAAAACTTTGTATACATTTATCGTATTTTATATGGGTGTTGTGTACATCTCCTGTAACATACTTGTTTATTTAACAGTCATTTTTATTCGTAACTCAATGTTTTAAATGTTTCGACACGCATAATGTATGGTCGCGTAATTCCATTTATTAACCAAATAACTTGTACTTAGATGACTGTCCTCTAGGTTGTAGCGCCGCGTAGTTTTGTAGAAATTTGTCGACGTTTCAGAGGTGATTCCTGCCTCCATCATCGTCCTGATGATGGAGGCAGCAGACAGTCATCTTCTGAACTTCTTCCTGGCAACTTGGGTGTGAAAGGGTTGAAACTATTTGCACACCTGTAAAACCTGCAACTACCTGTCACTAGGCTCGTGGGAAATTGCGTGAAATACATAAGAACTAACTTTGCTGCTCAGGCCGTTTGGCATACTGTTCTGTCATGATTTTCAAAGTAGTTTAAGAACGTTCAATGCCTCGAATACGCTCATGCACAGGAAAAAACCTTCAGAGATAATACATTATCCTACTATCATCCACATGGGGCAGCACTTCCTGGAACCCGATAAATGGGAGATGGATCGCTTGCAGTCGCTACTTGTAGACAGTAAGAGCTTCTTGTACTGGCGAAGTGGTTCTTCAAACAAAGGTAATGACTTGTTCATTGCAAGTTCTCAGGTTTTCACAGCAGCGAGTACGAGGACGGCTGTCTTCTGGATTGTAGTGCTGTATAGTTTGGTAGAAATTTTCCGACGTTTCAGAGGTGCTTGCTGCCTCCATCTTCAGGACGAATAAGCCGTGCCTGACAAATCAGTTGAGATGTAGGAATTCGTCAGTAAATACATAACCTAGGCAGCCATACAACAGTCATCTTCAACTTACTTTTCAATTCGTCCTGTTTTGCTTTGACCTATTAATTTATCTGTTTCATTCTATTTCTTTGTGTATTAATTGCACTTATTTAAATGACCTATGTTTATGTAGTGTAGTACCCCCCCCCCCCCCAGCCTGCCCACGAAAGTCATAAACGATTACAAAGAATGGACGAGAGTAGTCGAGATGAATCGAATGAGAATCGAGTAAATCGAACTCTCGTTCTCCCGAGCAAAGACACTCGCGAACGAAATTACCTGCTTGAACGATTGTTATCTTATGAAGCTTGAGTGAGCTAGCTCGCTACAATGAACTGGTCGAATCCATTACTAGCTCAAAGCTTTAAGCTGTTTACCGTTTCCTCTCCTTTTGTGATTACAGTATGGTGCTGCTGTTTCTGTTACTGCTGTTTCCTGTCTGGGGAAGCCCCTCGCCGGACATGCAGTGTTCTTTACCCCGGAGTGCCAGCATGAGCCTCACCATCACTAGCCGTCGCAATCAGACAGGACACCGGTTTGCGCAGGTCAGTACACTTTTCGCTGCTTGCATTCTGCAATTTTTGTTCTGTGTTTCGTATACGTCTGTCTTGTTCGAATGGTTGTTGTTTTATAGCAGATTAATCTTGGTGAGACCGAGTGGTTAGCTTCCCTGCTTTGTTTTAGTAAGGTCTTGGCTTCAAACCCTGCCGTGAAAACAGCTATCTTCAGTAAGTTTTATTGATTTTTCTTAGTTTCTTCAGGCAAATGCAGGAATATTACCAACATTAAATTAGCCCACTTCAGCTTCTTTCCATGTCATTTCCAGTATGTTATTCGTCATACCACGCTGTACAGTCTGAGCTGACACCATTAAATAAACCATAGCCTAAACAAATATATATGTACTACTTGAGGTTAGTTTTTCCATGGTATTTTTTTATATGAGCGTTGTTTTACTTTGGACTGCAATATTTTTTTCGGAAAAGTCAGTAAAATAATTGTTTCGAAAAGTTTTTCGTAACAATTATTTGTGTATGTTATTCTTTCTTAACGTTGTGGGTGTCTTTCTTCGACTTTGTAGTGTTTTTAATATCAGTGTTCCCTTGACAATGCAGTGTCGTTTTCCGGTACGATACCTAATTATCTGTAGTTTCGAGTTCATTTTCTACAGGTATCAGTTCTACTTTTTGGTATGCTTATAATTTTTTGGTGTAGACCTTTCGTTTTTCGGTAGGGGAGTTTCTTTATAAGACTTTCAGTAGCATACTTTGTGTTTTCGGTACCAATATATGACTTTTAGGTATAAATGGCTATCCATGTTTCTTTTGCGTGAGATATGTTTTAAATAATTTTGACCGCGTTATTTTTTGGTATAGGCCATTGTGATATTTTTCGGTACAGATACGGCTGGATCATGGTGCTCAAAAAGACTCTCCAAATGAGGCCGAAACTGGTGCCTGGGAAGTTGACATGGACCACAGCACTGTTATCTGTGACGGTATCGAGTCGGTGAACATTGTGGCTACTGTGACAGGTAACGCCCTCCCCTGATAGGCTCACGCTGAAGGAGACAGGACCAAATCCTAAATGTTACTACTAATTAAAAAGTCTCAGGAATGATTCCTAAGGCGAACAATCTACACGGGACATATAAAGTACCTTCGTTGAGTCATACCCTAATACGGAAGAACCTAGTTTGAATTTTGGATAAGGTACCTGTTAGTAATGACTGGGGTTTGCTGTCGTTTTCGTAACTCCAGTCACCATGTACGTATATGAGTAGAAAAGTTTTATAATATGCCACACCCTTCCCAGTTTCTTCCGATGATTGCCTAATCTTAGGTCTGTCATCTCATTCGAAGTTATAATCTTGCCGTTGAAGATAATAATTATCTTCAACAGCAAGATTATAACTTATATACACTTAATTATTAATTATAATTATTATCGTTAAATAATTTAAACTTAAGTATATGGATCAATGACCTATAACTTATAATCGCTTTAAGACACGTCTTACACAGCTTCAGATGTAATAAATAACAATAAAAATGTTGCCTATAGGCGTATTCTTATATGATATGTTATTTAAAATAGATTTTTGTGAAACCTAAATAGTTAGACCCACTTCTCGAAAAATAGGCTTTATAGACTTACTGTAGTCTACATGTTAATATATTGAATTAGGATATTTACCTCTCCATTTTCTATCAAATTTTATGTTTATCGTTTAAATTAAACAAAGATTTAAATCTAAAGTTTACTTAAGCTTTAGATATTTAAGATCGTGCCAGCCACGATATCTAAATTCATGCATTTTCCGTCAGGAAACTACACAAATGGTGTCCCACACATAATTTGTTCAAAAGTTTCACAAAGAGTTCAGCAGTTGAAACAAATGGCAGGCGGAAATGACATTCCTTTTTTATCTGATGAAGAAGGCATACTCTAGAATCTTTATATCCTCAGTACCTCCGCCTCGCGCAGGGCCGGACTACGAGCTGTTCCCTGGTATGGGGTACTACAAGCTACACACAACGCCACGGACCTGGAATGAAGCGTTGCGCACATGCGCAGTGGAGGGAGCTCATCTCGCTATCGTCAATTCGGAGTCTGAAGCCCGGTTCCTGCAGTTGTTATTCTCTCGCCATCCCAAGATCACTGGCGGCAACCACAATGATTATGCATATTTGGGAGTGCATGACATGTTCAGCGAGGGTCAGTTTACTACCATCTTTGGTAAGAGAATGTACCACGTATGCATTATTTGCCTCGGCATAACTAAAATATTTACGTCTTCCCAGACATTCGCGATGAGGGTGGACCTATAACTATTCATAAACTACAAAACATATTTGAAGAATGAAAATGACTTTTCAGGCCTTGATAAGTGATTACAATTCCTTCAGCCTGCAGATCTTAATGAAACATAGGTTTTCTTAAAACACACTTTGGGAGTTATTTTCCCTTGTTCGCAGGGGACCCGCTTAACAATACTGGCTATATGAAGTGGGTCGGTGGACAGCCTGATAACGGTGGAGCGGAACCCGGCAGTGACTGCCTTAGTTTGTATAGGGCCCAGGCTAACTTTAACGATCTACCATGCAACTGGAAGCTGGCAGCCTTCTGCGAGCAGGAGGTCTACTGAAATAATTCGCTGGACAGAAGATTCCAAAGCCAGCGGTTGACGTTAGTGGAGTAATCGACACACGACTGGGATTAATTGTATGAGATAATTTTAGGTCCCCAAATCTTTAGTACATTTTTTCATAACGTATATAACTGAAAATAAGATGATCAGTAAACAAAATGTCACAGAATTCTTTCTCTGCTGAATAACACCTATATTGTAATAATATCGAAATAAAAATTCCTGAGTTCATTTGTTAGTGGATTCTCTTTTCACCTTTCCACAGGCAAGAAAATATTTTAATAACATTCAAGTAGAGCAATTCTCGTATTAAGCCAAATAATTTTCCAACTCGACATATTTCCCAACGAACGTCGTAGACGAATAGTCAGTACTCCTGATTCATATTCAGATATTTTTGGGTTTAAATCCCTACCCCCAGTCCAACTTTCTTCTTTCCCTTCAGGCAAATGTAGGGATAGCACCTATAGACCTGGACTACTTCCATTCATATCCCTTCTAATTCTTTATTCATCTATCATCAAACCAGTCGATGATAATCTATATAATCAGAACTACTAACAGCGACATTTCATAGGCCGTAAATAAATACACGAAAATCATTCCAGTTCGTAAATTCAGTGGCGAAATGCATTCTTCATTCTTTACAGACTACAGTCTTTGCGGTGGCTATTTTCCTTTTCTTCCCGCTTCATGACACTCGTGCTGAACACAACCAACGACAGCAGCTAGCTAATCGGAACTTTACTCAGTGTATTTAGTCGTCATTGGAAACAATCCCTGTCTTGCTAGTGCTGTTCGGTCGAAAGGGAGAGCGAGTCTCAGACGGGCGAGTGACAAAGTTGGTTTCTAATACATAAGAGCTTTCCCATTATTTGATTGTACTTTTTATTACTTCTTATTGAAGTAGTTAAGTGAAGTGAGTGAAGTATGATGACCTTGTGTAATGTTTTATTAATGTGAAATACCTCGATAGTTATAAGCAAAATGTGAATTATTTAATTCGATCACTTTATGTGTGCAATACAACCTGCTTTCACAGTAAACATGGATGCACAGACTTCTGTCACGTGTCAAATATAGGCCTAAACGTGTCTGAATCGTGTAACGGCAATTGCATGTTCGCGTGAAATGGAGCATTTAATATAGTCCCAAGCTGCATTTTCCAGAATAAATCACATTTCGTATTTTAATATTCAGTCTTCAGATTATGAAACATGGCGGCACACAACTATCCACTATTACATGACAAGTACTAATTATTAGTCTTGATCCCATTGTTCTCTTGCCAGGACAGTAATCAGGACGAACAGGGAAATTTTCAAAGGGAGGTATTTCTAGATAGTTAAACAGGGTAACTTCTGAAGCATCCGGTTCCTAAGATGGAAAATATCAACTGGAAAGATCATAGAGCACACATACGTTTAGTTCTGCTTGTAGGCCTGGAGGTGAAGAGGCTAGTGGATAGGCATACTACGTAACTCGTTCTTGTTCTGCATATTATTGATTTAATGACATTGTGAAAAGTGAAATGTTTATTTAGGAGCAGTAGGAATTATAGAATGTTTATAAACAGTGATTTGTTTAGAATATTCGTAAGGAAGTATAAGGCAGTCGTCTATTTTAAGGTAATATCTCAGCATTTTCCTGAAGCAAGATTATCACGTGTGTTGTGTTCGTAAAACTTTACGTCGTGTGCGAGACAACTGGGCTCATACTGGAATTTTTTTAATGTGAAGTGAAATGGGTTTCGAGAATCTGATGACCTCATTCTCAAAACTTGTATAACATCTGCTCGTCGCGTCTTGAGATAGACTCTGGGGGCGTCGGTGAGTATAGAAATATTTAATTGCTGTTTACAGTTGTTTAGTTTGTGCTGCTGTTGGTGTTGGTAAATGCATTTTTTGTGTATTGAGTTTTTTTAACCTACTTTAACGTTGGCTTCATTCTGACCAGGTCTTCAGGTATACTTTAAGCACACCTGTTGCAATAATTTTTTGTTTCAGAATCTTTATTTCTGCATAAGCCATACAAATATATTTTTGATGTTTTCACTGATATATTATGAAGCTTACGTTAGCCATGCAAGTAACGCGGGAGGAGTAATGCCTCCAATATGCAGTGATTATTTGTTATAGAAAAGTTAGAATGCGGTGTGTTAGAGCTAGCAACATTATAAGAAACGAAACCACAAGACAGGTTGAAAAACTCCAGCCGAGAAAACCTACTGAAATAATTTTCTAAATTTCTTATTTGGAATTGGGAATGTACCAAGCGCGTGTATAGAAGGAATTATAGGATACAGTGGCTTCCATTTACAATTTAGGTTTTATTTTAATGTAATGATATAGATTCGGTTTATAATAACACGATACGAATAGCTATATTTATTAAGGTAGGTGTACAATTAGCTTACATTAATTCAGTTATATTAATTGCATACAATTATTCTATAAATTACCCCAGAAGGCTAGATGTATTGTTATGCGAATCCCACATTTATTAAATTGTTGTATCATTATCATATATATATATATATTGAGTTATAACAATAGCCTCTATTTAATCAGTTAATTATTCAAATCACCTACGTTTACTTAAGTAATCATAACAAGGGTCAAGCGCCCAGTTTCCTCAACTTCGCTATTGCTTTCACAGTTCTGAGATCTCGCATACGTAAGGCAATTCTAATTCACAGGGAATATCCAAAATAAACTGGTTGGTGTCGAAAGCACCACAGTTGTGAAGGTCATCTGATACAGGATACCCTGGTTTCCAGCGTACAAACCCTGTCGCAATGATGGGCTCACCTGAAAGAAAATCATGTTCATTTTCATCAAACAAGAAGACACTGTAGCCAATGGCGTGCTTTCAGCTTCGTGGCTGATTACAACAGAAAACCTCAACAGCCCTATAGGTTTATGTCTGTAAAATCTTAAGGTATATACCACTTGAGAGACCTAGGCGTAGATGGCAGGATATTAAAACTACCTTGAAGAAGTACCATCACTCAAAACTTGAAAACCTTGTAGAATTATTGAAATCTTGAGCCAATCTCAGTAGTTTTCTCGACCGACACTTTGCAACTGTTGATGTGTGATATTTGAGTAGAGAAACTGAGGAAGTAATGAAAACCTATGCAAGGATGGCTGGTCTCTGTATCTATACACTTGACGACGACGACCAAAATTAGATTAAAAGTGAGTGCTGTTAACAAATTGTCGTTGAACCAAGAAATGGTAAAATATTTTCCGTTTTGACAAAGAGACCTACTTACCGCGGACTGTTAAATATTCTCCCTCGACGAACAGATCATGGAAACCAATGTGGATGGTTCCAGAAGTTGGGATAGGAGGATTTTCTGTGCTGTTCGAATCCCGCGATATTTCTGATATGTCGTCGTTCTCGTATTTCTCCAGCTTGGTAAGCCCTTCACTTAGGTACAAGGCCTTCAGGATGCCTGCCTCTGATGGAGAGTTGACGATTGAGAGTATTGCGCCCTCTTGCTGGCAATTCCTGCGTCCTTCACCCCAACTCGCAGGCTTCTTTGCCAGTCTGAATCATCAACACACGCACTTACTTTAATTGGCAAATGGTTAGTTTGTTGATACAGTACCAAGCTATGTATTCATGAAATTACGATAAGGTCGGCCCTATATTTAAAAACCTCTTGTATTGAATATTGCTTGATTACAGTTGTTTCATATCTGGAAGACACACGGTTCAAATTCAGCGCACGGACCACCTACACTGAGCCTGATAATCATGAATACAGAATTTTGGTCGTAAAGTCTGAATGAATTACTTTGGAGAACTTTCTGCAGAAGATAGGATAATATGGACTGGATTAATCTGGCTCAGTATTGGGCCCGGTTGTTCGCACATGAATACAGTTCCATACAATGCGGGGGAACGACTATCCGAGCGACTATTGTTTTATCAATAAGGACTCTTATCCACTGAGTTAAAATGTTGACTGACCTAAATATAAATGAAATCGCGTGTTACTGAACTTAGTTTTTATATCTATATGTTTCTTTGTCCGAGATGATAAAAACGATGTACTTGCCTGTAGTATCCAGCACCTGGGTAGTGGACGTACCCACTTCTAATCAGTGCTCGGTGTCTCTCATCGTCTAGGGGCTTCATGTGAACCGCGCAGAGGCTGGCCAACACCAGCATCAAACAGCTCCAGATTTTCTCCATGATGATACCTGATGAAAGGGAGAAACACTTTTTTTTTTTTGCGAGACATGAAGCAGCTATTCAGCCTTGTACCCCCTTCACTTACGAATTCGTTGTTCTTTCCTTATAATTTAGAACTTGTTTGTTGAAGTGATGTAAAGTTTCAAGATCTGTAATTACGTGCGCGCGCATCATTCCCGTATCGTAGAACTGTGAAAGCTCCATCTGATAAGTTTAATAAAAGTTATTAATATGCTAAATTTCATTAATATACATTCACTTGTTTCCCCTAACAAATTCTCACCTGTTAGGCTTTTTATTGTAAAATTCAAGTTATATTCGCGGCACTTACCTTTGATGAAATGGGTTGTGTTGCTGCTAGTAGAGTAGCTTCTGGATCTCACTCAAAATCGTCAGCCTTATATAGGACGTCTATGATTGTCCCTTGTGTAAGAACAGGGTGCTTTTTTAAAAGATAGCTTATCTTATCATCTGTATCTGTAGGTGTCAACACATTTCTAGACAGACAAAGTAAATTCTATGAAAGGGGGTAATGGAGGTCAACATTTTATATATAATGTTCACTTTGTTTAAAATATCTAATTTTTTTTCAGTATTCATGAAGTCTGGTTTTATATTTACTGAAAGAAGTCTATAAGGACAAATATTTTATCTGTTTGCAGATAAATGTTCCCAGTAGTCGACTACAATTTATTACTGAAGCATGCTATTCCCACCGTTGATTATTTGTCACAAACAAATATATTTTTGTAATAAATCAAAAAGAAATTAAATTAAAACTCAGTTTCACAACGTTTAGAAATATATGTACCATTTATATTTTGTCCTGTTCTTCTACACAGCTTGTAAGCTTGTGACAGAATAAAAGAATGAAACATATAACCTGAAAATAGTAGAAGTAGGCATTAAAGATTTTTCCCACCCACGTGATGGTCTCCAGGATGGTCAACAATTTTTTAAGTGGACCTTAGGATACATTGGATTTTACAGTAACTTTCACTAAGAAAGGGAAAAGGGCTATGAAATAGCCTACTAGAAATGGGCCTGGTACAGCTGACAAACGTAGTTCTGTGTAACAACTTTAGAATAAAATATTATTTGTTTGAGAGCTCGAAAAGACACCATAGGGAAATTGTGAAAAAGCAAATTGAACATTGCGTCTCACCATAAGGCATAGTCCGAAGATATGGTGCCACATGCCGCTGAATTTTTTTCCCCCAAGAATTTATGTGTTTCTGATGCCATAAACACCATGGTAAATGAGGTGCCATTTTTAGGAGGTGTGGGAGGAAAGGTGACCAAATGGAAGATACATGACACATGCTGAGATAAAATTATAGGCTTACAAATACCTTGAATACATACGATTTTTATACATCTCTGAATTGGTGATTTAGTTATCTATTTCACATTTTTAATTTGAGGTTATACTCAGACAGATTACTGCTGTTTCAGACATGGGCATAGTATCACAATTTCAACACTTTTTAGACATGAGAAAAGATTACAGATAATATGAGACCAAGGTCTCACATCCTTAGAAGTCTGTCTTTTCAAGGTCTGCTGATAAAATTCAGTTAACACTGGAATTATGTTTCTGGAAAGCACAGCATTAATTAATACTATATTTCCATAAAAATTAACTAAAATTTCTGAGGCACATTCTGTCACTACAGTTCTCCATATGCAAACCTTTAAAAAAAAAAGATTTTTATTTACTTAAGCCCTTCTTATACAACACGGAAGAGAAACACATTTTAATAAGAGAAATAAGGCTAAAAATTTAAAAAGTAGATGTACATATAATTTTAATACTACAGGCTTAATATGTAACTAATTAATTTTATATATTTAGTGAATTCAGAGCCTCATTGTTGAATTGTACATTGTCTACTGCCTACTCCTAAACATCTGTGAATGTTAAAATCTAGATATCATGGAAGACATTACAAGTTATTGCTGCTCATATCCACTCATCACAATAATATCAGCATCAACAATATTTATACTATCAGAGATTCACAAAAATATTTTATTGAGGAAGATGACAAACCATCACATTATTAACCATACTCTTCCTGACAGACCTGAGACCTACTTCTATATACAAAAACTGTCCATGGCAGTGTACCCAACATGAATCTCAAAAGAAGTACTGAAATATCTTAATGATTGTGTCACTTTTGGGTGCTGTGTTTTTGGAATTGTTTTCAATAACAAACTTCATTACCTTCATTTTTAGTTTATGATCACCATGTGCCTAAAGAATAATAAGTTTACTTTGAAAACAACAAAAATGTAGGTAAATTTTGATCTAAGTCGCCATGTGAGCCAGATTGATGGGCTATGCTAGCCACGCAGTAAATTGAAGTCACTTGAACAGAACCTCAGGCTAGAATTCAATTTCTGTGAAGCAAGAAATAAAAAATACTATGCTTTGGCTATCACAAATATAAATAATACAGTAATTACAAGCAACATATCACAATCTTCAGTGGTATCAGCTATGACCTCTAGCTTGACCTTGTCACAAATTAATTTCTTTTTTGTACTTAAAGAATCAATGCATATTTCATTCACTTAATGTGGAAAACAACTCACTACCTTCAAATTACCAATTTAAAACTTATGGTCTTAAAAATTTTAATATGTTCATACAGTTTATACTGATGGTCTATTTAATGTCCATTGAACAAGTTTCAATCCTGATTTATTACAAAACCCACCCGGACTCATACAGGCTTAAAACTGACATTCCATACAGACAATGTGGATGGGGACTAAACTGCTATTTTGTGGACACCCAGGGGGCAGACTAGCATACAAGATCATGCACAAGGCGTGGCTAGACACATTACCATAATCCACCTCAGAAATTTTAAGCTCCAACAGAACTGTACCACAGCCAATAAGGGGTTGAAAAAGGCATGTATGGTATAATTCTTCACACATTTGAGTTAATATCTTGTTAATTACATTAACATTTATTCATTCAATCACATCATCTCATTCTTGACTTTTGAAATTCCACCTTCTGCTCACTTTATATTTCATTATACTCCTTCGCATCATTTCAGTATTCTTTGTTTCAAAACAACCCAGTTTTTCCATAATTTAATACTTTTACTTCTCCCATAACACCTTCCATGGTTTAATTTATACTCTGTTCTGCCTTCCTTATTTCATCATGTCTCAATGTTGTTACCACCACTATTAACCAGTCTTTGAATGTGCAAGACACATTTTCATCATGTCTCAATGTTGTTACCACTACTATTAACCAGTCTTTGAATGTGCAAAACACAAGCTCAAATACATTTTAATATCATAATAAAATGTAGAGATATCAGAGGTATCTATAGTAACAGTATTCAAGAGACCTCAAACATATGCACACAAAGTACATCCTTATCTGCATATGTTGGGATTATTAATCTTTAGCTTTCTCTCTGAAGTGAGCTCTTCGGTGAGTCGCAAGGTTTCCAGTTTGAGAAAAATTCTTTCCACATACATCGCATGTGAACGGTTTCTCCCCAGTATGAGTGCGTACATGATCAACTAGAACTGCTCTTCTTGCAAATCTTTTAGTACATATTTCACATTCAAATGGCTTCTCACCAGTGTGAATCCGTAAATGTGTTGCGAGATGTCCACTTTCTGAGAACACTTTCCCGCACTCATTACACGCGTAAGGTTTTTCTCCAGTATGAGTTCTTTTATGTCTGACAAGATCTCCACCACGTGAGAATTCTTTACCACAAATTATGCACTTATATGGTTTCTCTCCTGTATGAATGCGTGTGTGATGGGAAAGATGAACACTTTGTGAAAACATTTTATGACATACTTCACATCTGTATGGCTTTTCCTCGGTGTGTGTTCGTATGTGTACAACCAAATATTCACTGCGAGAGAAGCCCTTATTACATACGTCACAGATGTAAGGTTTTTCTCCCGTATGTATCCGTGTGTGTATTGCAAGATGCTCTCTTTGAGAAAATAGTTTTTTACAAACTTCACATTTGTATGGCTTTTCTCCGGTGTGAGTACGAATATGTTTTTTCAGATGTTGATCCTTTGTAAACAGTTTACTGCATATTTTGCATTTGAAACGTCGAACTTCAGTTGCAGTAAATTTTGTTTTTGTCTTGACATTATTAACACCTTCTGAAATAGATATGTCAAGAAAATTACCTAAACCACCTTCAAAATAATCTTGGTTTGAACGTTCTTGTCCATCATCACTGCAGGTCTCTTTTTCACTAGTGTACTGCTGCTGAATGCTGTTAATAAAAATAAATAGTACATTAAACAATGTTTATATTCTTTCCTTTTTTCGCTATTCACAGTATACAGATAACAGTCTTTTGGGATTTTGTACTCTGCAGTCTCATAAAAGTTGACTGACATTTCAAAGTGCATACTACCTCTTTCACTCATTGCCCTGATGATGGAGACACCTGAAAAATTAGTCAGTTTTTGTTAGACTACATGGTGCAATATCCCAGAAGGCTGTCATAATTGCTGGCTGCTGTGAGAACCTGAAATCTCACTATTCAATATATAAACTGAATAAACAGTGCAACCCAAACTGAACAGCAGCAATGACCTGCACATACTTTACTAGCCTCTAAACAACAAATTAAGGACGAAAAATTGCTTAAAATGGCAAGGAAATTGAAACCAAATTAAAATAAATCAACAATGTGAAATCTCAAAACATCCCACTGGAGAGATGCACATTTTTTAACCTTGTGAAAGTAAATTTCACAATAATGTGAGACTTACACCAATCCATTCATAGAGTTAAAAGAATGAAAAGTTCAAAACAGAACACACAATCATGAAGTAACAAAAGTATGGAACACTCACCTGCCCACATTCCCATCTTGCTCTTCCACTTTTATTTCATCTTTAATTTTCTCTGTAAGTCCACCAACTTCATCACACATTTCCTGATATAGACACAGTTAATTAGTATATTACTATTAATTTTCAAATAATACATGACACTTAACAACACTGTACTTTTTACAGAATACAGTTAATTTTAAGAAACCTCAAAACAAAAATGTTGCAATTCTTACCTTTTGAAAGAATGTGTGGTCTAAGAACAGCACATAGACATGTGTTAGTAGTGAAGAATAAAAATTTGTAAAGCTAAAGAGAGGTAGAGGGAGAGTGTGAACTCGAAGGAGATATGCCTATGAAGTGTGTTACATTATTCTTTTAATTTTTCCCTTACCTTGGATTTCAGTCCATATGCAGACAAGAAATGTAAAAATAGGTTTTGTGATATGGGTTAATACTTCTGCATCCCCAAGTAATGCTGCAGCTACACAAATGTATGGAAACAATGTTGACATTTTATAAATAATTAATAAAACTACATGATGTGAAAAAGGTGGAAAAAAGTTACAAGACATTATGAATTTGATAAAAGTGGAAAAGAAAAAGTTTAGAGTTAAAGCATTTATTACAGAATTAAAAAATCAAAAAAATCAGAGAAATCACTGATTATCCACTTTAACCACCTTATGGGAACATAGTGTAAGTCTCCTTCAAAACTTGCTCTTAATTACAAATTATAAGGAGAACGTCATAAACAAGCTGTTATGAACTTGCTATGATGTAAGGAGAAGTCATGAAAGCAGATTGTTATCCTCACTTTATAACAAAAAATGTAAAATAATAGTAAAGTAATGTGAAAGGCAGGAACAGTTAACTATACTTCACCTTATCTTCTTTTTTGACTACCATGAATGTTGATGATGGTGCAGCTTGCGCTTCCTGTTTTATATAAACACATTCAAAGTCACCACCCTTAGGGTTCAACTTAACTTCCTCTTTCCTGGCATCCATATTGTTATCTAAAGCAATCAGCAAGCAAAATATTCCTTGATAATGCAGAAGTAATATGGTACACTCTACTGAAACCATTTTCCAGTGATCAAAAAAGTATAAACAGAATAGTCATTTATACAGCCCATTTAAATACTATACTAGAGTTATAACTCATGACTGTATAGGTTCAGAAATTCCCTACTTTTTATAGAACTCAAACATTCACTGTTAGTTCACAAAAGCCCTCCAACATTCTCTATCCTGATCCAGAGGAATCGCAGTTCTAACCCGCCTATTTCCTGAAGATCCTTTTTAATCCCTATGTTTTCTAAGTGATATCTTCCCTCCAGGCCTTCCAACCAAATCTGTATGCATTTTGTTATCTCAGTCATACATGCTACATGCCCTGCCCACTTCATTTGCCTTCATTTGATAATTCTTAATATCATTTTAAATTCCTACACTTTCATAATTGAAAATCCACATTTATACTTTAAAAATACTGCCACTTATTTTCTTGTAGTGGAAGAAGTAGACAACTAAATTTCTTGCCCTGCAAATTGACAGTAATGTAAACTGGAAAACACAAAATCAATATACTATCCCTTAACTAAGCACAAAATGCTTTGCTATAAGGACTGTTATATCACTCATGAAAACAGAAACTTCAAGAATTAGTTTACTTTGCTTATTTACATTCAGTCATGTCAAATGTCTGGGTAAAGTCAACAGAGAGCTAAAATGTATTTTACATTCAAAAGAAAATAATTAGAATAATGGCAGGCACTTGAAGGAGAGCCTTGCATAAACAACCAAAGTAACTGACAAAAATTAGCAGGAGTACTAGAGATAAACTTTTACACTCTTACTACGATTTTTTGACATTTCCCCCTCATTTATTTCTTAAAAAGAATGATTATGTACGTTGTGGCAACTGCAAAATATACTATAAAATAGTGACATTCGCCAGTTCCTACTGCAAAGATCTTCATTCTGTTCCTTTGCGTTTCAAACACAAAATTTTTTAGTTCCACTTGTATTTTGTATGCATGGCTCCCTTAATAACGCCATCTGTACCTTATCTGACAGACCTTTGGTTTCAGTAAACTGTCTATGCACAAATTAAAGGGAACCTCAGAAGAATATTACCCGTATTAGGAAGTTCAGCATACGGTTCTTGCCATAATACGAGCCAGCTTTTCGGGAATTAGAAATCTGTGTACGGAACTCTCAATACGCGAAACTTCAAAAGTTGGGTTAAGGACGTCTCTGCTCCTCCGTTTGAAATAGACGAAGATGGAATACTCACTGCTGGCACGATCCAGTTTGTGAAGGTTTCTTTAGAGTTTCTATGTTACCGTGGTTGCTATTAGAAAAGTGTTCGTATTGTGTTAAACTCACAGGAGAATCAATATTGACTCAGTCTCAATAAACGCATTACTGCTAAAGAATTAAATGTTGATGAGGAAAAGTGTCGGTCTTTTTACAGAATGTTACTGCATCTAGTTGAGTCAAACATAACGAAGGACACAAATTGGAGAATATCTACGAAGGCAGAATAGAGGCTTCCAATTACTCTGAGGTATATTTTTTGTTCAAGTTTTCATCTAATGTACGATGAGTAATACATTATAATGACATTATCATACACAACAAATTCACAAATAATGGTTGAAGTTTTTCCATGTTTGTACAGAATAAAAGTGCTGATTACAATTGAGTCTGATGTTATTAAAATGGTTTGGAAAGTGAGACTAAAGCATCTCCTGTTAAGCTGGGCACAGCAGTTGTTTTTACAGATTTTGAGTATATACCTGCAGCGTGAATGTTTGATGTCTCTCCCTCGCTCACGAGATGCTGATGTTTGTTTTGTTACTGTTAATTTTGGTGATTTCGGACTGAGTCACTGCTTTGAAACTGTGAGACTTAATACACCACCACCACCAACATGATGGCTGTATGATGATAGGCCAAAGTTTTCATATTATTTCTGTGCTGATTAAGCATTTCTATTGAAAACTTACCTCTGAAACATAATTGCACAAAGAAAAGTTAGGTTATTCCAAAAGATCTCATGACAAGCATATCACTATATTTATTCCCAATTTTCTGTTGGGATTCAGAACACACAGGATAATAAAAAATAATGCAACCCATTCCTGACACACGTCCTGTTTGTGAAAAAATAAATTACATTAGAATTGGACAAGAAGAAACAGTGTTATATTAAGTGTTGTGAATGTCCACCCTGTTCAGCATTGTATGAATGGGCTCTTCTCTAGTCGCAGTGACATTGTGTGTTTATTAATCCAATCAAATTGTAATGAATTTAGACCATCAATAAATATTTTAATATGGGTTGCGTGACATTTTGATCATCCTATATTTTTAAGATGGCTAGGCAATACATTTTGTTTTAATCATTGTAATGCATGAATACTTTATCTTGTCATGGGATCTTAAGACAGAGAAATTAAGGCAGTAATGAAAATTAAATTGAGTGTCATTTTGTTTCTTTATTAGGAAACACGACATTCTGTTTCATTTAACAAACCAAACATGCTATAGCTTTATTAATTTCACCATTTGAATTCAGACATTATTTGTCAGATTATATCTGGTTTTGTATTGTATTTGTTTATTGTACTGTATTTGAGTTGTTTGTTTATTAGACCAACTAAAATAATGCAGGCCTCCTGTCATCCATTATCTTCAAAGTATAACATTGGGAAAACATTACACTTGTAGAACACGGTGCACAGTATCAGACTTCATGTTTCATGCTTGAAGATGGTGAACAAATGCAGTCTTGTGAATGAAGTGTGTAGATTCATAGGTCTTCTGTTTTAACTCTAATATCCTCTTTTGAATTAATTTCTGTCAAAACATTTTCATTTATAATCAAAAATTGAGAACAATGGATAACATTTCTGACATCCGGCATGAACTGAAACATTTGTACTACTTGTCAAAGGTCTTGTGCTTGGCCCCATTTTCATTCTCCTGGAATCCTGTTGCTCGTGAAATTTTCATCAATACAAGCCTGTCTTCAAATGTCACAGGATTTATATGGACATTGTTTATGAGTATTATAATGGTTACTGGCTTAATTAGTGGAATCATTAGGTATAAACATGTTGGACATTCTAATCCTGGTGTAGCATTAAATAATTCATTTTGCTTTCCAATGAATTTTATTAATGCATTGTTGTCTTTTGTAGTCTTGTTCATGAACAGATTCAAATTTGGAGAACTTGTACAGAAATTAAGTGAGATTGATGATAAATTGTGCCAGATAAAACTTCGCAGGTGTACTAAGTATCAGAATTACTTTTTGTATTTTGCATATACTGTATGTGCCTTGCTGCTTATGTTCATGTGCTATGACATTCTGGAAGTGGAGGAACGAAGGTATTTTGTTTATAGTATAGTTTATCGCATTGCTTATTTTATTTCCCTGGTTTTGATCATACAGTTTTGTCATATTGTGAGGTGCATAGAAGAGAGGTTAATAGTTTTGGAAAGAGGGGTATCTTCAGTTTTGGAAAACAGAACACCAATAGGAGTGACCTCCACACTCACGCTTCCATCTGTTGAAACAGTTGATAAATCTGAACTGTTATCTATAACAAGTCTAATCTCTGAAAATGAGAATCAGGTGGAGCCCATTGAAAACAGTTTATTATTTTCAAGGAAAGCACTTCCACATAGGAAATCTTATCAGTTGCATATAATCATCACCTCAAGGAAAATCTACAGTGACATTTATGATGCTACACAACTTATAAACTCTGTTTATGGATTTATTCTTTTGCTTCTCTTCATTCGGGCTGCAGCAGGATTGGTTACCAATATATATCATCTTGCGTCAATCACAATAAGTGGATATGTGTTTGTTGAATATAAAAATTGGGGCACAGCTGGACACATCAGCTCACTTGTGACTTGGATTGTGATATTCCTGAGTACAATAACAATGATGACAGTCACATGTCAGATGACAATTTTGAAATCGAAGAAAATTGGTGACATCATACAAAAACTTATTTTGCAACAGCCTTTGAGAAGTGATATGCTGCAACAGTTGAAACTATTTTCTGATCAAGTGGCAAAGAGTGAAATTAAATTTTCTGCTTTCTGGTTCTTTAATGTGGATATGTCTCTGCTTTATACAATGTTAACATCAGTCACAACTTACATAATTGTTCTTATGCAGGCCAAATGAGAATAGAATATAACAGAATTTATTTACATTTCAAAGGTAAAGCGAAGGACGTAGAACATGTCATAGCACAAATACAATACTTGTTTTCAATACAAATGCAAATTACATATTTGGATTTTATTTAAAATTGCATATGATTACTACATTCATAATTTGTGTATGCCTACATCATATGGTGCAATGAGGTTAGTGAAATAAACTCAGAGACCATGTCCATCCCATGTATAATCTCTGAAACTACTAAATGGACTTTGATTAAGTTGTGTACAAAGAATTTTATTGTAACCTATATTGGGACCAGTAAACTGCTATTTACAAAAGAAACATTATTGATTTTTTTAATAATATCTAAAACGGAGTAGACTTATACAAAATGACATTTTTAAAACATTTGAAGATAATTTTTGTTAACAACCAATAACAACAGTCCATGTGATTTTTTTTTAGCTTTCAGTATGACTAATAACCAATTAACCACAGGGGCTATGCGAGTAAAATGTGGTATAAAGATAGATTGTGAACATACTTGAAAGTCTTGTATAAAATACTGTCTGTAAGTCAACTATTACAGATGCGAAACTATGAGATTATATTAGACAAGTTGAACGTAATCGGAAACTGTATATTCGTAACAATATAAAAATGATAATAATAACAATAATGGTCTGAAAATTACCTATTTACAGTCGCAAGCAATTATTTAAAAAATATATATGGCCCGAGTTGTAGTCTGTATGACTGTATCTACGCACGAGCATGGAACACTAATTCGTGAGCTACTAGTATATTGCAGTTTCTTGCAAGATTATAAAAATTCGCATTACATAATTACAACACTAGCAAACAGAAAATCTTCGGAACTAGAAGCGTGTGCAGTATGAACGAGACCTTTAACCGGAACGGCTGGTGTCTATTGAAACGAGTCCATCTACGAGATTTGACGTCTTCCCACAGGGATGGTTTCTTTCGCTTAATACTAATATCGACAATTTATAGCAGCAATATGTTTTGATATCATCCAGTTCCAACAATTGCTACGTCGGTTATTAGTGATTTTTTGAACATCCTGTGTTATTGTTCTGCGAACTTTTCTTGTCCGTTGCCATGGTTATCTTCAGAAAATTAACCACTGGAGCCTCGAAGGCCAAAGAGATGAAGAAGGATAAAGCGAAAGCGGCGACCGTGTTGCCTAGATACAGGATGAACTGTAACACAAGAGCATTTGTAATAACTAACATAAGTAAGTTTCTGAAAGTTTAAAATGATTACCACTCGAAATATGTATACGATGCTTGAAACACATTAGCAACTGAAGCTATAAATGCAAAATACGGTATGGTGTCAGTAACAAACATGCCTCCAATGTTTTCGCGAAGACATTGTTTCTTATTTTAAAATTTCTGGACGTTGTGGGAACTTTGAAGCTACAATATCTGAAGCCTAGGCAAGCATGGCTCATGGCCATGACAACAGCTTTCTTCCCACGTGTTCTCTAAGGTGTGTGTGAAGGAGATGAATTCACACGTGTCGTCGTGCCTTGCGCAGTCCCTAAGAGCCGGAGAGGAATTTACCTTAGTAGGGCACCGCACTTGGAAGAACAGCGGAATTTATGCGACACTTGGTATATGCATTTTCGCGTTCCGATATTTTGTTTCAGTATCATGAGAATATCACTACCCTATCCGCGGGAAAATTTTAAAGCGTGCTTCGAACCTTATCTATGCTGATCAGGGAATGTGATGCAGATGATAAGCTTGGCATTAAATAATTCTGGCGCCAGTTTAACAACAAAATGGCGATTGTTATGCAGCAGGAGTGCAACCCTTGTGTACAACGAGATTCGCCTGTAGTGAGAATATTTAGCTTATTCGTGTAAATTATGTCCAGAAACAAATCATGTTGTATGATTTTTCATGTATGATATAAATTAAGACAGTTTTCTATATAGACTACATGGAAGCATTTGAGATTTCTTCCTGTATCATGTTTTCAATATTAAATTTTATTCAGAACTGTACCACTACAATAAGAGGTATTTATGACTTGCTACAAGTTGTCGATATAGGCTGTTGCACGTGTTAAACGTTTGCAGGCTGTATTTTCTGTTTAATGTCGCTCTTTGCAATGCCAGTCTCTTCCGTCGATAACTCTTGACACTATTTGCGAATGGAAATCCAGTTTTCGTACATAATTCTTGTCTGTGACTTCCAGTTTCCAAAATTAAAATTTAATGTACCAATCGGTTACAGCAGTATAGAAGCTTACCACTAGCAAGTTGTGGAGATGGAGCGGTCCATCCATGCTAAATCCTGTAACCACCATGATGAGTGGGTGTGTGAGATACGCACAGTAGGTGAGGCGACTCAGTGGGAACAACGCCCGGAACGACAGAAGACTGTTCACAACACCTGCACAGACAATGTAAACGATTTATAATTTCAAGAGACTGGAGCTTGTCGCTGAGGGATGCTGTCACTTACCGCCATAGCCGGTGGAACAGGCAATTACGATCCAAGCAAGACCCAGCCCCCAGGCGGTATGCCCCAGACATGCGTAGGCTGCTGAAGTCAGTATCCCTAGCTGAACGTGCAGTAGCCCGTATACGAGGCTGAACATGCACAGCAGAGACAAGGTCCACCCACTGATTACGACCACCTGAGAAGAATATTTGGTTGCTCTGTAAATCCTGCATCAATCTGACTGCAAGTGTGGATGATACATAATGCTCTCTGTCTGCAAAATCGTGTCTTTGGATAATTTACAGTTGTGGTTAAGCAGTATAAGGCGATTAATGTGAGAATGGTACAAGTTCGAGTCTAGCCTTCAACACATCCAATCCGTAACGGACACTCATAGCCATAATTCCACCAAATTAGGAATAACTTTGTGAGTTACGCTAAGAAAATTTAAAGTTTAACTGCTGTGGGAAGTGATTCCCAGAATTAAGGTAAACCGGTCACTCTGGATAAAACACTTTAAGAAATGAAAGTAAATAAAGAATTGCATAATTTCGATCAAGTCTGAAGGTTTCTACGATTGTGCGTTATAATCAGTAAAAGTGGTATTTTAAGCTTTGTCGATCATCTATATTTAAATAAAATAACGTTTCGGAAGCTGGATCTTCTTGCGTCTTCAGGTATAAATAGGAAGAGCAGAAGCCCTAGCATGGGTTTTGTTATTTCCTTTCACGAGTTTGTGTGTCCGGATAGTTGGCAGTGCTGTTTCGCACGTTAACTGTGATTTTATGCCAGTATCCTATGTTCAAGTGGAACACGAAATGCTGACTCACGGTTGGCATCTTCAGGGTGCATTTTGTTTCATGCAGTAGCCAGCCAGTCGCCATGCCAACAAGATAAGGCCCCAACCTTGTCCAGGGTTTGTCGTACAAGGCGTCGAAGTGAGCAAATGGCTCCTGTATTCTGTGGACACAACACAGTTAATCAAATATACAGCTGAATCTTAACAGACCATATTTTGTAGAGTGATTTACTTATGGTCTAAATTAGAAAGAAACATGCAATTAATTTATGTTTTAAATCTTCACAGCCTGTGTGTGTCATATTCTATTTTAATGCAACTATATGTTGCCTCTAAATTTAAAGACCGTCATAAAATCACCCAAGAGTCGATCGAACCGATGACCTGAACCGAAAATCGCGATCCAGTAGTTGCAAACTGATAAGAAAACACCAGTCTCAAACGTCATTTGAATGCGATTTTGAGGTGTAGCTGTTTATTCTAAAGTAAAGGATTTTTGACTTTTTGGATTGTGGAGTTTTGGACCATGACACTGTGTAGTCTTCTAAGTGGTTACCAATGTTTCAGAGGAACCTTCAAGATAAAAATCTTACACGAAATAATAACTCAGAAAAATACAGTCTTAATTTGTACCCAGTGGAAACCCCAATTTGTGTGTAAATTTTAAATATATGGAAGGAGTTACAACTTTGCAACCTATCATGTGTCCATTACCTGGCGATATACTGGTGCTGGTATGATATGAACCCAGTGGTGCACCAGCTGCTAACTAGAAACAATGTCCAGGCTGCTACCACGACTCGGAAGTACCTGAAATGGACAGACACGATCACAGTATGTCACTCTAATACAGACTACAAATGTCCGTAAATCGACAAATAAACTTGATTAACGTGTACATACGTTTGTATGCACTGAGCACACAATCACTACATTTTTAATTACTGTCCGTGTGGGCTTACTCTACACCTGGGCACAAAGTGGAGGCATGTGTTCAGCTACACGCTTAGACCATTTTACCCCCAGAACCCATTGTACGGGGAACCGGATGGACTCCAGAACCGATTTGAAATGGATGGCAAAAAATTCAAATTCCATCCACAACCGGGAATCGAATATCGGCTGTCATATGTAAATAAATATCCATTTTAAAACAAATTGTTCTGAGTCTCTTGTTTATCAATACTGAATTGGTATCCCAAATTCTCACATTTGTGCTTGTGACAGCTAAATGGGGTTGCAGGTTCATATCAGTAGTACTGCATTTCTCTTAGTGCACAAACATAGTGTAACCTCTGCATTTCTAAAGGAATATCTCATCCAGGAGCTACAGTTTATTTCCGAACTGACTGTACACTGCCTTGTCCATCGTAAGTCGCCGTCGAACTTGTCGTTCCTTTCAGATGCCATCAACTGAGTCACTTGATCGGTTTTGTTTATAGGCGTACGTACCTGACTGACACCAGCAAGAGTAGAATTCCCAAGACGTAGAACTGGGTGTCATTCGCCATGTACCAGCTCCACAACATGCACTGTAACACAGCAGAATGCACTACGTAACTAACTCAATTTTAAGACGCGGATACTCACTCAGTTGGACTAAAATTATTTCCATTGAATGATTTAACCGACTCACCATCTCGCGCCGCGGATACAGGCTGTTGATATAAAGAGCGTTCCGCCACCAGTAATTGTCGCAGTTCAGATGGTCCATGATCTTGGGCTCGAACACGGAACTGTTGTGTAGTGCCCGCATGGCAACTTCTACCAAGCCCAACACAAACAGATATGCGGGAGTCAGCCTAAAACACGATTTATAACACTTTTGTCGTACAAATTATAAAACTATAAAATTTCAACGTTTTGGAAACTGCATTCTGATTCCGTACACAGGTAAGAGGGAGGGAGGGATTACATAATGCCTATCTGTTAGGCCCCCTGTTTTAGCTAATCTCAGGCCTGAACTTTTGAGGCGTTCTTTAATCACGCTAGAGCACGAAGTTCGCCTAAAATCTGCATCCTAATTTGACTGTACGCCTGCATAGTTTAAGAAGACTATCCCGCCGCGTAGTTAAGTCGGAGAAGTTGCCGTATGGGCACGGCGTTACTAGTGATCTGGGAGCAAAATAATGGCAATGTAAAGTGTAAACCTAGAAAGAAAAACCTGAACTGACATAACCTTATCCTGAATCAATTTAAAAATGTTATAGTCTAATGAATGTTAGTCTCCCAGTTCAGTTATTTGTAAAAGAAATGGTTTTGATTAGCAACGAGAAAAGACGGAGCCCGGCATTATTAATGTTACTTTTTATGTCTGTTTGCATTATTTCAAATAATTGCGTTACAGCCATAATTTGTCTTTGATAATTCTGCAAATAAGTGGTGTTTAATTGCCCACCGAAAGTTAATTTATCATCACCATTCTTCCACGTCGTGCGGTGGGAGGGTGGTGACAGTACTCACCTAACAAACCTGTAGAAGAGAAGCCTCAGAAATTTGACTGAGTCATCCTTTAAACTGCATCTCTTGTCGCTCGGTTGATGCTGCTTTGTTGCCGTACGGTAGTAGAGAAATGTGACGAGCAGACCGCTGCAACGAAATAAATGGGAAACTTAACTACAACAGGTCTGTCTGTATGTGACCTTGATTTCACACTGGGATAGCAAATTCGTATTCCGTGTTCAGAATGTGGAGGCAGCAAGCAGGAAGGACCTCTGAAACGTCAGAAAACTTCTACCAGACTACACGGCGCAACAACCCAGAAGAAAGCCATCTTCAACAAATGAATAGCTCTTACTGAGGTATGTTCACAAAATCTTGCATCAGATTTTATCCCCACGCTGTTTTAAGCCAGTTCACCTACGCAAAACTACTGCCTAAGATTAAATATATTTTCCTCTCTTATGTATGTAGCACAGAAGAAGGCAATGGCAAACCACTTCTGGATCATCTGCCAAGAACGTATATGAACAGGTCCCAGTCCGAGAAAAGGGTGGAAGGATCCTGTTCATATGGACCTGTCCTCAGACAGAACACTAAATAATAATAATAATAATAATAATAATAATAATAATGTATGTAGCAGGCCTCACAGATGATTCCTTTCCTTTCAGAGCAGACAAACAAATTTTATGAAATTCTTGA